CTGTGTGCATGCAGTTGGCATCACATATTTTTTTCTTTATAATTCCTGATTTAAGCAGATATTTCTAGAACCTGCTGTTTAATAACTAGTGGTAGATCCACAAATGGCAGTTTGTACAGAGGGAGAGTGTTTATCCTTGTTCGTCACTCCAAGCATAGTTTCCATTTAAGAGGCATTTTTATTTCACTGTTAACCTTACCTTTCTGTAGCCACTGTGATTGCAAGTTTGCTTGCACCGCTTTATGCATTTGTTTTTGTCATGGTGTCTCCTAGAGGTTTCCTGCTTTTTTGGAAACTTCACTTGGTTTAACTGCATAGTGGGAGGGATACTTGAAAGGAACCAGCAGTGTTTTACAAATTGATTTACAAACTAGTTGTAACCCATGATCTATATTTAAAGTCTGGCTTCAACATCTCCTAAGACTTTGAAAAAACAGGACTATGTTGCAGAAGCAGTAATGTTCTGTTTCCTTTCTAACTGCTGCTCTTGCAGCTTTTGTGAAAATGGGAAAAGAGGACAAGAATATGTACAGGCAGAAGAGACTATTCCCCTATTCCCCTCTCTAAAAAATGATATTTGAGAATGTTTCCACTTTTTTCTTCCTAGCAAGATTATCTTAATTTCTCATGTTTTGTTCTGGCTTATCTATTCAAGTCTCTCTCTCAGGTCTGGAATTGGCATATTTTCAATAGTAATAGTAATATGAAGTAGTTCTAGTACTTAGAATAAATTTCCCGCTAAAGAAAGAAACCAAAATCAATAGTCTAAAAGAAGGGCTGTTTCTAAAAGAAATCGAATCAATAGCCTTGAAATAAAAGGCTGAGACTCAACTGAAAAGGGTGATATAGCAGTGATACTAGTGCTGTGAATGTAGTTTAATGGTAACAAAACAACCTTGGGTCTCCTGGTGTAGCTCAGTAATTTTATGTGATTGAAATATGCCTTAAAATTGCCTACTAAACCTGGTACAGTTTTCAGTGTTCGATTTTGATTACGAGATTTTATGATGGATTGGTAATAAAAATACAGATCTTGATTTCTGCATCTGTTTACATTCACATTTCTGGAATATTTCTAAGGAGAGACGCTGTGCAAGTCGGTATTCATCTCTTTAGGCAGGTGACTTCCATACGTGCCACATAATTCCATTACCATAAAAATGAGCTGTATTTTGTCATTGAGCTCTGAGTCTGAAACTCAATGGCAGATAATGAGGGAGCCTTGAAATGGGGCCAGCATGAAATAGTCTCTTCCGTTTTTCTCTTCGGCCACCACCCTGGAATTCTGATTTTTGCTAAGGCAGAATCTGTTCGCAATTTGTTAAAAAATCCATAATAACACAAGGGTTTTGAGGTTTAAAAGCAGCATTTATCAGAGGAGCAGAAGAAAGGCCCTTATTAAAGTCCTGCCACTTTGGCAGTTCCACTCTATTAGTAAGTCTCTATAATGAAAACAGTTGAGCCTAAAAGCGGGAAGAAAAGTTTAGTCATGCTTTCTTTTTCTGCATATTGCAGGAATATTTTCTCCTAAATTTATTTTATTGCTATCTATTAAATATAATTGAATTTAACTTCTCCAGTTTAATGGAAATTTCTCTGACCTACATTGCTCCCTTGACAGAATCCTTTTTGATTTCCTTTCCCCCCTTTTCTTTCTTTCTTTTTTTTTTTTTTTTTACATTTCAGAAAGCAGCAAGTCTCTCAGAGCTGTTGCCATAGACAGATTAATTTATTCTTGGGTCTGTCCTTAGTCTTTGATCTCCGTTTAGTTTAAAGTCAGAATCCTGTGATCCAGCGCCCTAACAGAGAAGCCTCCGATTTCCTCATCACCTGCCCTGATAATAACATAATTCTGTGCCAGCTCTTTCCCTGATAGCAGCAGAGGTGTTTTGCTCACACCAGCAGAGCATAGAGGTTCACAGTTGTGTGCCCCTTAGTACAGAAAATTTGGAAAAACTTAACTATTTTGGGTTTATAATATATTCACATTTGTGTTCACATAGCTTTATACTAAGGAAAGGAGTTTAGTTGTCTGTTCTGGTCATTTGTATTGTACTTTTAAGACATATCTTTTCTGAAAACATATGGTTCTTCTTCTTGGATCTGTCTTGCAGGAATTACACTAAAACAAAACTAGGAAAGTACCACATCCTATGGATGATTATGGATGATTATCTCCCTACTTTTTCTTCAGTTTCTCTGGAAATATTACTTGTATTTCGTCAGTGAAATGACATCTATAAAATGAACCATAGATGGTAATCTGAATTAGGTACTCAAGAGGTTGCCTGCATCATATAACCCACACGGAGCATTTCTTCCAGCTATTTTCCCAGTTTTACTAATGTTACTCCTATTTTGCAAATAGAGTGTGAGAGGTCTCAGTAGCTATTTTTTGAAAGATGTTACCAAATGGAAGCTGTTGCTCTAAGGTCAGGGGGGTGTTTGGTGGTTTGAAAACCCTCTGTGTTTCAGAAGAGGTTCGCCAGGTGCTATGAGGGCCAATTCAATGGAATCGACTGCGTTTAAGCCCAGCATCTGTTCTGAGGGCAGAAGCTTGTGCTTACGCACTCAGTATCCCACATTGAATGTATTTCTCCCTTATTTGCAGAAGTTCATAAGTAGTTTTTCATTTTGATGGAGATGAAAGAATATCAGCAAGCTACTCCAGGAGGGAAACCAGAAGTCCATCTCACTGGATCTTCTTCTGACAGTGGCCTGCAGTGGGTGCCAGGAAGGATGTGACAGCAGGGCAAGAGCAACAGGACCCCTATTCCACCTGTGCTCTCGCTAGTTCACGGTCTCTGGCTCCAGGGCACCCATTTACCCCCTGCTCTGGTCCTTCAGGGCTCTTCATTTGTGTTCTGAAAAAACGTTTGGGCTTGGAGATACATTACACTGACTATGTACAAAAACTACTTAGCTTGGTTTCCCTTCAAGGGTCTTCAAGATGCAATGCTTAGACGATTGCTCTTCTGGTATTTACTATATGGTTTTCTTTTTTTTTTTTTTTTTTTTTTTCCGAAATGAGATGAACCCCAGCCCAAAGGACCGTTATTGGCACAGAGTCATCATCTTACTGATAGTTCCATCAAAACTTTCCCAGGTTTCATGTCCAAGTGCCTTCCTTTCTGCTAGTTTTGTCAATCCTTTGGCTTAAGTGTAAGATTTTAACCACATCCTGGTCAAAAATTACCTGATTATTTTCCTGTTTTCAAACCAAGGCATTATCTATAGATTAGCTATTCCTCCTCAAGCTGTGATCCCTTATGAGTCTACCCTGCATAGGAATATTGGCTTATTTTGTTGTTGTTGTTGTTTGTCCTTGATATTTTACCTTTTTTCCTTTAATATCTTCATCCAGGGCACTCTCTCATTCTTCTTTTTGAAGTTTTCATGTATTTGAAGTATAAAAACATTGATTTCTGGCTGGCTTTTTTTTTTAAGATGCAGATACTATTGAGTGGAAAAAAGAATGAGAAAAGAATATCTTTATATAGTTAGGAGAATGTTTCATTGCTGATATAACTGTTTCTAACAATGCAGTATTGCGTGTCACATTATGCAGCTGAAGTGCTAATCCCTTCATTAACTTCTAAATCTCTACACAGGCCTCACTGCTGGAGTATTAATGTGAAACTGATGTTCAGCCTTCCTTTCACCTGTTTTGACAACTGCTGATTCCTGGAACTGTCCATATTTTTCCTAAACTTATTAACTTATTCTGTTTCACAGGTTTTTTTTTTTTTTTTTTTAGTATTTTGATCAATTATTCTTTTTTAATCTTTTATTGTTGAGTTAATGTAATGGTCCTGATTTCTTATTTTACCTCATTCTTACTGAAATTGGTGTATTTAGAGTTTCCTCCTAAATTCCAGAAATTTAAGGTTTGGAATCTGTTACCTTGTTATCCCTGGGCCCAACATCATTAAGATAGTATAGTTTAGCAAAATCTCTTTGGGGAAAAAGCAATGTTCCGTTCTGCCCAATTTTTCTGAAATTTCAGGGCCCAAATAGCTTGGGCCTGCAGTTGTGTGCCCAGATATCATCATGTCAGTGGACCCTAAGTACGTACTTAACCACACAGAATATTCCCTTTTTTTGATCAAGGTTTCCTAAAGTAGGAGCAAGTTCCTGCCAGGGAATATGAGGCAGACTGGCAGCCCTTGAGAGAACAAGCGTTTAATGATTCTTCTTTAATTGATGTCTATATTTGACATACATGAAGAAACAAAATTAAAACACTGACTTGACAATTTGGCTTTTTTTTTTTTTTTTTTTTCTGATGAGATGATCAAGCTGCTGCATATTTAAGTGGAGTTTAAAAATGGGTCAGCGAGCACAAGTTTTAACAAAACTGTGACTTCGCTTTCTCTTAAATAAGACTGTAATCTTCTATGACAAATTATGGTTTATTTGGCATCTTACATTTAAAGCATTTTTCTGGTTCATGGAAGGTTTCTGTTCATGAGTGTGCCCACTTTAAAAATCCTTGCTATTAACCTAATATTTATTTTGCTTTGTACTCTTCTAATGCCTACTCAGGAGTGCTTTTAAGTTTTAATAATTTTTCTAATGCAGAAACTTTAGTTTTATTCAGTGTAGTTTTACACTGTGCCAGTACTGTGAGATACAGATGTTACATTTTCTACTATGTGTCCACTATGTGAATTACAGTTCAGATTCTGTGGACATGTTACATGAATAACGTGTTTAAAAAGCCTAATAGTTTACTTGGAATCACAAAATTAAATTAGAATTATTATTAGAAATAGAATAGTGCATAATGAAAGCAAGATTGTTATAAAGAACAAACACTTAAGTATGAAAAAATGTAAAAATAAAAAGTAGAGCTTGATGTTGTTATAGTATGTTATCACTGTTGTACATGCCACAAGAAATAATTTTTCATATATCTATTAGCAAAATTTGCAAAACTCTTATGCTATTCTTTCCATGTTTTCAGCTATGTAAAATGGTATTTTCTTCTTATTTTTCAGCATATGTTACTAGCAATGAAGTTTGTCATGGCATTTGTAATTCCTGATAAACCAAGAGATATCCAGATCAAATTGGCCAGGTTGGAATTTGAATCTCTCGAGGCACTCAAACAACAGGTAAGAGCAACTGATTATAAAGCAGCATCAAAGAAAGACCAATCAGGAGGGGTGTCTGCTTCAGTTCTCAGTGAATAGGTACCCAGAATGTTGAAATTCCTGCTATATTGTATTAAATTTAGCTGATTAAAACTATTCCACCTCTGTCCAGGAGGGTGCTGTGGCCGCAGCTGGGGTGGCTGGCAGGTGGGTGGCTGTAGCTCAGTCTCACTGTATGACATGCAGCTGTGGTATTACTAAATAGAGGTCAGCACTGATTTACTCCAGGGTGCTGGGCTGCAAACTCCTGCATTTCCCAAATTGTTGCACTTTCTGCTAAGCCATCTGGGTTTAAGGCACGGGGAGGATGGCTGGAAGTTTAACTGATTGGTCTGTTCTCTTAATGCATCAGTGAATGCAAGTCAAAACTGAGAAGATGCTCTTGTTTTCAGGGAGTTTGAAATTGCTGATATTCCTAGTAACACAGGAACGTGTAATGTAGTTGGCCTTGTGTGTGCATGCGTACTTTGCTCATCATGTCACTTTTAAAGTACTTTGGGCTCTGTGAATGAATAAGCCAGGAGGTGTGTGTCTGTTGCAGCGCTATGATTATTTCTCTTGATGAAATACCATCACAAATAAACAGTTGCTCACATAAGCAGAAATTATAAACACACTGACATGATCTTTTCAAAATACTGAAATAAATACATTGAGAATTAAGTATGTATGTAGTATGTATGTGTGTAACATTACCTAAATTTCCTGTCCACACAATAGTCTCATTTGATTGTAAAAGTGTTTTACAGTATACTTAACAAGCATCCGCAAGTAATTTAAGGAAATAGGGCAGAAATAGATTTTATCCTAAAAACACCTGTTTAGGCAAATGCTTTCATAGGGATGATGATGGAGATCACATGAGATGAAGAATTGTATGGATTAACTTCAGCAGAGATTCTGCAAAGCTGCTTCTGCAGTGACAGTATGATGATAGATAGGATTTTTTAAACTAGCTTTGCAGTCAGAAACAAAATATCATGGAGTTGCAAAGAGTAATTCACATATTTATTGCTGTGTTTACAGATGTGTTTACACCATGCTGCATTGTTTTACCATGAACATACTTTTTTGTGTGTTCCAGATGCGGATGTGTAACCTTCTGTATTCATTGATATTTGTATAGACTTGGAGAGCACTTTTAAAAACATCTACCACAATTACCTGTGATAGAATATTCTGTTAATTTTGGGCAAACTGAGCTCAGAAATAATACATTGCCTTTTCTGGAAAAACAAAACAGTCTCCTGTGGTAGAATATCCCTATCTAGGTCAGCACTGTCTTCCATAATCAACCATAACAAATAAAATCCAAATTACAGTTGAAGCTATCACCTGATAGTTTTGTTTTGCCTTTCTCAAATATTTCTGTGTGAAGTTACCAGGAGCTAGTCATAGATCTCGTGTACTTTTTAGATAATATTAAAAAGAACAGGATTGCAATTCTGTTTTAGTTGTTCCTTCTCTGTTCTTATTTTTTAGACAGGCAAAATCAGGTCATCCACTGAACCCTTAAGCTCAGGTGAATACAGTCACCTTTGCTTATAACATGCCACCTGGAATACCCAGAGTCTGTCTCTTAGGAATTTATATGTCAACAGTTAAGCCTTAACCTTCTATCCCTGCATCTGTGCATTCCCTATAATAATAATATGCCTGATCCCTTGCTCTTCAGACTTGTTTCGTGAATAAAAGCAAAAGGTTACCTCATAGTACAAGGTTAGTCTGAGTTTCAGTAAGAATCTGAACCCTGGCAGTTGTCTCATGCTTTCAGTTTGAACCTTTTATCAGGATTTGGGAAGAGCATTGGCTGGTTTTAGGATGTGTAAACAAAAGTACCCACCATCACCTTTTCAGATTTGCTCCAATTTCCTCCATGCTATCTCCGTATCTCAAGAAACAGACATTTGGGATTTTTTCTAGTGCCTTAGGGTTTTTTTTGAGTGCCTGAAGGCAAAGTAACTGCATTCAAAAGTAAAACATTGGTAGTACAAATATTTAAGCATTTGTTTTAGGAGCATGTTTTCAAGTTGTTCTAGCTAAGTATAAGCATGTTGTTACAGATACATCTTTCAGTATTAAGAGAAGTCATGGTAATTTAAGTCATATATCTTACTTTCAAACAAGTATCTCTCTTGTCCTGTCCCTCTCTTGTCCTGTCCTACCCTGACTTTCAGGTATAAAATTCTGGGGCGAAAGGTTGTGGGATCACATATTACATAGGAATTAGTTTACATACTTTTATGTGTGTTTCACATTCTTCTCTAATGCCATCCAGACCTGCATTGTGTTGTGTTCTGCTGTGTGAGATTTGTGTTAAAAGTGATGTCTGGTTTTTTCAGTGCTTTTGGACCACTGCTGTCTTGGGACGTAGATACAAGAGGGATATTAACAGAGCTGGACTATAATCCTCTGTTACATGCCAAAATTTTTAATATTAAATTTGAACATTAAGCTCCCTATATAATGCACAGAGAGCAAATCTCCAAATAGAGCTACTTTGAACAGTTGTGTTGATTGTGTTTGTGATCCATAACTTCAGCCAGGGTGAGCATGTCCATGTTTTCATTACTGCTAAGATAATTGCTTTTTGACTGGCTGCAGCGGGCTATAACCATTCTGTGTTCAAATTCATTTGCAAACCGAGTTAGTGTCCCTCCGAAAATGATTTTTAGGGAATACAGTGTCCTCATTCCCTGGCAGAAATTAAACGATGATCATTAGAGCTTGCTTAAAAGCTTCTATATGATGAAACATGCTATGATCTCAGAAAAGCTCATTTTACCTTGGAATGACAATCAGACATTAAGGAAGGTCTTTAGAAAATTCTGAAGTGTTTCTTTTCAACATTTCTTCACATATTTTGTGTTAATAGAAAATAGTTTGTTGAATAGTTTGAAATAATTTTCTATATATTCTGAAAATATTTTGTTTGGATTTATTATTTTTTTGCATACCTCAAAACAAAGTATTTCAACCTTTCTGAATCCAGATCAGGGAATATGCTAAATCTGTGGGCATTAGTTCATAGATTTTCTTGCTGTCCTTCAGGGCAGAGGATGGTGGAGGAGGCTGCAGGGCATTGATTTGGAGTGGGGAAATAAGCCTCATGCACTCTGTCCTCCCTAATCCTGTATTACTGAGTTCAAGGTTGTTGGAGGAAAGGAGGAGTCCGGTGCACAGTCCCTAAGGGGCTGTCTGTGACTGCATGCAGCAGCAGCCAGGAAGGACCATGGGTTATAGGTGAGTCCCAGTGTGTGAGTCCCACAACACTAGCATGGGGATGCTCTAGTGCTGAAGCAAGCGGCAATGACCCAGTTTCAAAGGAGAGGCTGGACTTTGTCCTGTGACAGGTTGAAACCGCAGACAGAGCAACACACCAGACTGGAGCTTCTGGCCCTGGGGCCCCTCTGGGTTCTGTCTTATGCACTGGCGAGCAGAATAAACGTAGCAGTGATAGCAGCGATAAACAGAGAAATAAATATTGGTGCAAAAAATACCCTTGCTTTTTTGCAGTAGCTGTAATGGAAATAAAAGCCGTCCTTAAACATGAGGGGGAATAGATGTATGTTTTGGGGAAGATTAGTTCGTTTGTTCTGTGCATCCCTTCTGAGTTCTTTCTCCCGTCGTCCCTCACTTTCTTCCAAGTGGACCTTTATATAAAAATCCTTTCTTTCATCCTTGTACCCTAGCTTCCTCTCTCAAGGTGGTGGCCCGTGTCTTCTAACAGGAATGCCTTTTCTTTCTAATCAGTAGAAATCTTTCTGTACTCGGAGAAGCTCGTTCATCTGTTAGATGTTATGGTACTTGCTCCAGCAAAAAAAGATTCCAGGTAGATACATGCTCAGGAGCAGGGGCCACAGTCAGCTGCCTCACAGCATGCATTTTTCTCAACTACCAGTAGTAGAAAGGGTCCAGCTCATTAAACAGCTGCCAAGTAGCTTGAAAATGTGCCCCCTTATCCGCCCTGCTGTGTTGCTTTCCATCATGGACAGAGCCATGCAGTCGTTTGGCCTGGCCCAAGCGCAGAATGACCTTTTGTTGTGCTGCACAGTGTCTCCCATGGGGGTTGTGCCACCTGCGCGACAACTTCGTGGCAGCCCTGTGTTCCGAATGGTCGTGAGTCATGATTTCCGTCATGTCGGAATGAGGCCTGGCAGGCTGGTAGGCACCACCGTAAGGATTCCCAGCAGAGTGCCACATATACCAAGGCAGTCCTCGGGATGAGTCTTGCAAGGTTTTCTCCAGCGGTGTCAGTTCTCTCCTCAAGAAGCAGCGCAGCTGGAGAGTGCTGTGGCTGATCTCTGCATCCTCCTTGCTGACCAGAGGCTTCCTCACAACATGCAGGCGTGCGGTGGGGGAGCTTCTTTTTGAAAGGGGTGTTGAGTAAATGACAGATAGGAGCTGGTGTCTGTTTGCATAGTTTCAAGCGTTTGGAGTGTTCCCACTCTCTTCCTGTTCATACAACTATTCGGGCATTAAAAAGTTACTATTCTCTCAATTACCCTTACATTTCAAGCAATTTTAGTACTTTTAACATTGCAATTCTCTGTGCTGCAGTATCTCCAATGATTAGAAGACTTCTCTGGTGTAGACAGCAGCAGTTGCCTGTAGCTGTTCTCCTGGGAATGGTACCCACTAGCACCAACCCCCAAAGAAATACCCTACGTTGAGTGTGCCCTCTTGGTCACTCCCCTATTAGACTGTTTAGCCTTGAGAGCAACTTAACGTAGCACTGGGCTGCAGAGAGGTCCTGGGAACTTTCTGTCTGCCTTGTGCAAAGTGTGTTTGTGCTTGCTCCTCACACCTTTTCAAGCTGCAGGGGGTTTCCACGTACTAATATGTGTCTCAGTGCGACTATAGGTGTGATGGGCCAACACAGCTGCTTGGATTGGCACTAAACCTGAGAAATCCCTTCTTTTTTGGGGGAAGGGAAAGAACACGATCTTTTTTACCACTTA